GGGACAGTGGGCTTGTCAACAACTTCACAATGAGTTCCACAGTTGTTTCTGGAAAACGTGGTCCCACTTTCTATTTGGTATCGAGATCAATTTGTCCCCCCCCCAACATTTTAAAATTTAATATAGTTCTTATAAAATATTTCACGAAAAGACTTAAAAATCATCTTCTATTCTGAATGCCTATATTTTTTTGGGGGGGAAGGGGTTAGCACTAACATCTTAATGTTTTTTGTTTTGTTTTGTTTTGGTTTCTTGCTTATTTTTTATTTTGATTTTTTTCCTTTTACATACCAACCACTTTCCCCCCACACACACACTTCTCCCCCCCATCCCCCATCCACTCCTCAGAGAGGGTAAAGCCTTCCATGGGGAGTCAACTAAGTCTGGCATATCAAGTTGAGGTAGGACCAAGTCCCTCCCCCCTGCATCAAGGCTCAGCAAGGTGTCCCACTGCTGTGGGATGTTCTGTATGTCAAATTACTCTGATTGGTCAATAAATAGAACACTGATTGGCCAGTGGCTAGGCAGGAAGTATAGGTGGGACTAACAGAGAGGAGAAAAGAAAGAACAGGAAGGCAGAAGGAGTCACTGCCAGCCGCCACCATGACAAGCAGCATGTGAAGACGCCGGTAAGCCACGAGCCTTGTGGCAAGGTATAGATTTATGGAAATGGATTAATTTAAGCTATAAGAACAGTTAGCAAGAAGCCTGCCACAGCCATACAGTTTGTAAGCAATACAGTCTCTGTGTTTACTTGGATGGGTCTGAGCGGCTGTGGGACTGACGGTAGACAGAGATTTGTCCTGACTGTGGACAAGGCAGGAAAACTCTAGTTACATCCCACCATAGGGAATGGGCTCCAAAAAGGCTAGTTTATGCACCAGTAATAAATCCTGGTCACATTGCCAGGGGTCACACAAACAGAGCAAGCCACACAACTGTCACCCACATTCAAAGGGCCTAGTTCAGTTCCCTGCAAGTTCCACAGCTGTCAATCCAGAGTCCATGAGCTCCCACTAGCTTGGGTCAGCTATGTCTGTGGTTTTCCCCATCATGATTTTGACACCCCCCGCCCCCCCCCTACACTCATACAATCCCTCCTCCCTCTCTTCGACTGGATTCCAGGTGCTTGGCCCAGTGCCTGGCTGTGGGTCTCTGCATCTGCTTCCATCAGTTACTGGATGAAGGCTTTATGATGACAGTTAGGATATTCACCAATCTGATTTCAGGAGAAGGCCACTTCAGGCACCTTCTCCACTATTGTTAGGAGTCTTATCTGGAGTCATCCTTGTGGATTCCTGGGAATTTCCCTAGCACTGGGTTTCTTCCTAACTCCATAATGGCTCCCTCTATCAAGATATGTCCTTTATTGCTCTCCCTCTCCATCCCTCCCTCTACTCAACCATCCTGTTCCTTCATGTTCTCATCCTCCATTCCCTCCTCTCTTCCCTCTTCTCTCAGTTTACTCAGGTGATCTTATCTATTTCCCCCTCCCAGAGCGATTGATTCATGCAACAGATCTCAAAGAGCTTAAAGGATCAATATTTGTTGTGCATTTCTGGAAGTTTCATGATGCTATTGTTTGTTACAGCTGAGCAATACACCATTGTGTAAATGTACCACATTTTCTTTATCCATTCTTTGGTTGACGGGCATCTAGGTTGTTTCTAGCTATTGGTTCTGGCTATTACAAATAATGCTGCTATTAACATAACTGAGCAATTGTGGTATGATTAAGAATCCTTTGGGTGTATGCCCACGAGTGGTATTGGTGGGTCTTGAAGTAGATTGATTTTTAATTTTCTGAGAACCCACCATACTGATTTCTGAATTGGCTGTACAAATTTGCACTCTCACCAGCAGTGGAGGAGTGTTCCCCTTACTCCACAATCTGTCCAACATAAGCTGTCATCAGTGTTGTTGATTTTAGCCATTCTGACAGGTGATGGTATCTTACAGTAGTTTTGACTTGCATTTTCCTGATGGCTGAGGATGTTGAGTAATTCTTGCTGAACAATTGTTCTAATTGTATGAAAGTTCATTGCGTTGTATAGACTTTGGGACTGATTAATTTCTGTGTGTGGTATTTTTTCCAACACTTTTTTTAAATAATAAAACACTTTATTCAAAATTTAAAAATCAGCTTAGTATATTTACTAAGCTAGCTTTTTGTGTGCTGGCTTTCAGTGTGGCTTACATGCCTTAAAAAAAAGAATATTCCTTTTCTTTATTTTTTTATTTTTTTTTCATTAAAGGTTCCTGGTCCCTGGTTATTCATGCCCAGGTGCTTATTTTCTTTGTCACCTTTTACTTGACATTCTTTCTGCTCTATATTTGATTTATTTGTTTTAAAGCATCAATATGTTCTCAGGAAACTATTTCTGATAAGGCTTTGGCGGATGTTCCCCCTCACTACCAGTTTTACATCTTTCTTCTACAAAGACTGGGCAGGACCAGAGGTGCTAACCTCACATAGTGTCTCAAAACAAAATCTAAAAAAAAAAAAACTGCCCAAATGCTGATGCTGAACCTGAGTATGTCCCTGTATATGCAGAACTGAGTCCCAGGGCTTTTGAAGTGAAAGCTAGAGTTGGGTGAGCAACAGAAGGACAAACACAAAGGGACAGCCAGGGGACCTGAAATATGAGTCACTGCTCAACCACCAACTTTGCAAACTCACCCAGGCAAAACTATCCATGTGTAGTCGCCATGGTTACAAGACTGGATAGGGAACACACCACTGGACTTTTGTGTTTCCTTTCCCATCACTTGGAAGGCACAGTAGTAAATTTTCTGTACTGGTTTCCAAATTTGGAAGTGAAATTTCACTTATAAATATATTCACAGCAAACCAAATGTTCTAATCCAATAAACTCCAAATTCCTTCCAGTTTCCCATTGTTTTCTGTAAGATTGCAAGGTTTAAGAAGTGCTGGAAGTCTGGGAGTGTAATTAATTCCCTGCAAAGCATACAAATCCCAGAAAGACACTTTGTCGGATTATCTCATCTTACTCATGATCTTATTATCCTATCAATTTTGTGTGGTTTCAGATTTCCCTGGCTTGGGATTAAATCAGTGTGTTCTTCCTGATGCATAATTCAGGAGCATTTGAAAACGATGTAATTACAAACCTCAACGGCAGACTGTGAGTCGCACTCACAGTCATAACTGCCTAGAGCATGGCTTCCTTTCAGAATAGTGGGGTAAGGATGTCATGTTCCTAAGTCCTACTGCTCCAGGCCTGCTATTGGATATCCATGCAATTACAGAGTTGGATGGAATCCAACACCACACACGGAAGCTGGGAAAATGCCAATGCGTTTGTGGATTTAGAGGAATTTTGAAGAAAGAGGAGGATAGTTTTTTTTTTCTTAAAGGCCTATTTATTTACATATATGGATGTTTTGTCTGAATGCAGATCTGCACCCCAGAAGAGGGCATCAGATCCCATCGGACTACAGATATAGATGGCTGTGAGTCAACATGTGGGGCCTGGGATTTGAATTCAGGACCTCTGAGAGAGCAGCCAGTGTACTCTTAAACACTGAGCCATCTCTCTAGTCCTGAAAGATAGTTCTTAAACAATAAAATAGTTGATGGAAGCACAAGTATAGGATTTTTGAATTATTCAAGTGCACACCTAATTTTGTAGATGAGAACAGCCTTAACTTACTGTCCTCCTGAGAGCAGAAGACATTTTGCATAGGTGCCTACTCTAGTTTTTGTTATTGCCTGCAAACTGAAATTGAAATGCCTTGAAAAGTTTCTCCAGAACCTTATTCCTCAACATCTGCACCGCTCACTCAGCTCACACTCACCTGCACAGTCTTCCGAGTTCTCAACTCTTCTTCATTTGAATCTAGACTAGGAAGTCCACTTAGAACCATGGGAAATCTTCCTCATCCAAGAAGCCTACCTCCCAGAGACACTGGCCACATACTTTCTGGTTCTTAATGCACTTTAAAACTTTTGTCATGCTTACAAAGACTATAAAACAACAATAACAGGAAAAATGCATTTTTTCCGTTCTAATGTAAGATATTTGTAATCGCCAGGTAAATAATCTCCAGCAATTTCCTTCTGAGTAAGGTCTTAGGTATGTAGAGACTGAGGGATCAGATCATTAACTCCATTATGTGCAGTGGAACCCAATCTCGTCATTAATTTCAGTGCACTTTAGTCATCCTCATCAAATATCTCTGAGATTTCTTTAGCTAGCCAACATTTTTTACTATTTCATAAATAAGTAATTCAACAACAACAACAATAAAACCTTAGCCTTCATCATATCCACCTGTTTCCTTGTTATTGACTAAAAGGACACACATTTTGGTGAGGATGATGTCTCTGCATTTGTTTGTAAACGAAGCAACTTGTGCTGGGAAGAGTTCTGCTGCCTCTCTCTAGGGTACAATACTCTCTTGCAATTTGCTGAAAGCAGGTGGTATTCATTTCCTCCTTTGCTTGAAGTTCATAATAAAAGCAAGCAGGTAGATTTTTTTGTTGCTGCTGTTGTTAAGAATCCTCAGCTTGACAGATCAAAGGCTTTGAAACTAGATAAATGTAGACTCAAACTGAAGGAGGTGGGCTTTGAAGCACCGGGTGGGAAAGGCAGCTCGGCACAGACCGAAGTCCATGCATCAAAATGTTTTGGGAGAATTCTGGTGAGGTTCACAATGGATACTGAAAAGGACGCATTATTGGCTTTGTGAGGTACTCTATGGAAATGCACAGGGCGAACAGGAGACTTTAGGTAGCGTGAATTGGTACCCTCCCTTCTATTGAATTTGGTTGGCAAATTGAAATATCTGGCAAACTCGTTCCAGCTGGGTGTTGCTGGTTTCTAGAAAAGTTCTTTGCCCAGCAGCTCTCCAACAGCAGCTGTGTGTGGCCAATAATTAACCTTGTCACTTAGGACCTTGCATGCTGTTTCAAAGTATGGTGAGTGTCAAAGTTAGGACAGGAAAAAAAAATACAAAGTCACCTTAGGTCTTACAGTTCAATAATTTTAATAGTGCACAATAAACAGGCATACAGCTTTGCAGTCCTCATTTAAAACAATCTTCTCAACGCTTCTAAACTAGGAGCGGGGGTTCTCTCCCACCCCTTCACATAGGAATAAATCTAGGGTAGTACCCTAAAGTGCATGTCTCAGTCATTGAAAACAGTACTGTAATTTGCTCTCTGGAGTTCTCGGTAAGAGCACGACTTCCTCATCTGGGAAGCGGGAGAAATGATTACATACTTATTGCCTCCAAGAGATCCATTCAGCCTTTTCACTCCCACAGGTGATGGGAACAACAGCGAGGCCTCAGAATAACTTTCTAAAAAGCCGACTTCCTCGGAAGCAGATACCTATCCTTCCCACAAATAAATACTTACTCGTCTTTGATCATGGAATATTGAAGACTCCGCTGACATTTCACTTTCTGGAAAAAATTTAAATATTGAAGGCCTTGGGCCTCTGAATATTCTGAACTTGGGTAATAGTCTCTCTCTGTCTCTGTCTCTGTCTGTCTCTGTCTCTGTGTCTCTCTCTCTCTCTCTCTCTCTCTCTCTCTCTCTCTCTCTCTCTCTCTCTCTCTCAGAAGCTTGCTCAGGCTATTGCTTGTCCCCCTGGGGGTCATCTGGAAAGTCAGCCTCCTCAGGGGACCTGTCTCCTTCAGGAAGCAGTGTGGCACGCACTTTCCTCTTCTCCTTAAATCGGCCTGAGCGCGAGATCTTCAAATTGCGCCGGCTATTGCCGGATTTCTCCTCACACAACTTATCTGGAGGCTCTCCGGTGTCCCCAAGGACATGGGAATGCTGGTTCTCTCGAGAGCTGCTAGTCCGATCCAAGTAAGGTGGTGACTGATCCTCGGCCTCTGGCTGAACATGAGGCTGCGCCCCCACAGTGACCTCCTTGCTTTTTTTTCTGGTTAGTGATTTCCACCAGGGACTGGAGCTGCTGGTGGAGCCGCCACTGTCCGCCATGGCCCGCAGGTCTGGGGACCACGGTCGCCCCGCGTGGGGAAGGGCCTGGGCCAGGACGCCCCTCCTCTCTCCGTGGTCTCAAGACTGTTCACTCCAGCCTTTCCAGGTTTCTTCCACGCTGGCAGGCAGGCTGCCTGGTGGGAATCGAGGGAGCTCCTGCACAGGGAGGAAAACAAAACTTGGCTTGGTCAAAGTAACAGGCTCCCCATTCTCCTTTCCTCTGAGTTGGGGCTCCAAGCCATGGGGCCGCAGGACGCTCGGTGGACCCAGGGGCCTCCAGCAGGACACCGCCTGATCTATAGATTGAACACCTTGAACTCCTGGCCTCAACCTTTGCCTTAACTCCTGAGTAAGTGCAGTAGCCACCCAGGGGAGGTCCTGATCATCTTGATCAGCCTGGCTCCAAAGGGATTACTGGCCCGGCTGCCACTCCACCTGACTGTATAAGGACCACTGTAGGCGCCCAACTGCCCTAGAACCGCCTTTCTTCACAGGAGCACCGTAAAGGGGAGTAATGGGGGGGGGGCAGGGGGCGGGACCACCTAGCGTATCTTGCCAATTACAGGTGAACAGTGAAGATCAGGCAAACAGACTGAAATTTATCTAAAACCTTTCCCTACGATGTTGAGTGGTGATGCTTGGGAGTGTATCCAAGTGAGAAAGTCGGATGCACAAGCATATTGTTGTGCTTACACCAAACTGCTTCTGCCTTGTGACTTTCAGAGACCGTCTAGACTTAACTGCCTTTGAAAACCTGCCACCCCACTCTTCCTTTTACTCCCTGGAGGCCAATATTGCGATGGTAGGAAGGCCGCGGGCCCCAGCCCCTCTTCCCTTAGCTCTCCAATTCTCAATCATCTTAGTTATAAACTAAAGACTTCTGGTACTTTGCCTTGTGCGATACCATCCTCCAAAGGAGAGAGCGCAACCAGAACTCCAGAAAAACATTCTTCCACCCCCAAACATTGAATAACGGAGCTCCCAACCCCCTAATACTGCAACCAGACTACTCGCACACTTCCCGTGCGCCTGCAACTGAACAGGACCACCGAGAGTGGGCAGGGCACTCGAGCTCCGCTCTTTGCATCCTACGCCCGGATTCGCGAGTGCTCAAAAGAGGGAATCTTGGGCTGCGTTTGTTGTTGCAGGTTCTCCCGGAATTGCCGGAGAGAGGAAGTCTCTGCGCCTACGGGAGGCGGCGCAACGGCCACCGGCCCCATCTCCTCAGGATGCCCGGAGGACACACTCGGGCTGGGACTCGAAAACCGTAAAAGCAAAACCACCCAAAGTTTTTTCCCTATGAAAGGCGCCTACACCCTCAGGCACCGTCAGAGGTAGGGTTTGCAAGCACCGTTCTCCCTCCTATCTTGCAGATTGGAAAAACAAACCCGTGCCCCAAGGCGTGTATTAATGGTGGCGGTGGGCAGCCACAACGCCTCGGTTCTCCACCCGACACTTTCTTCTCCACAGTGATCAACGTGCGGTGCACGGAAAGGCTTTGTGAGAATCGCACAAGGAAAAGATGGCAAATAATGTAAAAGTAGGCAGAGCACCGTTCTGGGGCCTCTCCTCTGGCAGCAGGAGGAGGGGCGCCGAGAGGCGCGGGACAGCAATCACGAGGGGCATCGCAGGGCCAGGGTTTGTCTCGTCAGACTCAGAGGGACACTGGTTCACTCACCTGCAGGGGCTTCCAGGGTCACCGGGACCCCGGGCCGCGCTGACTCTCAGCGCACTAAAGGACGTCTCGGGGCTGCCTGAAGCTTAGGCTGGGTGCGGGTTGGCGCCGTCTCGAAGAGATACAGGAATCGCTGCTGCTGCTCTGGCCCAACACCTTTGACTCCCGCACGCTCAAAGGACAACTCGGGGTGGCAGCACGGTCCGCTTAGGTCGTAGGGGCTGTCAAACAGACAGCCTTTCCTGGTGGGAGTCTCACATTCTGGGGAGCGTCCCTTTTCCCTGCTTGAGCTGTTCCGGGACCGCTGAGAGATGGGACCTCGGCTGCTGACTCCTGCGCACTCGCTCTTCCTGAGCGTCCGTAGGAACACGCAGAGGCATCTGCCCACCTGCTGGTGGCTGGCCAAAGGACTGAAGATACTAGAACCACGGAGGCGGGGAGGGTCGGGGGGGGGGGGGGACGGGAGGCAGCCACCCAGCTACAGGTGCAGGTAGGCGCTGGTGATCCCGCCCTCTTAGAGACCAGATTGGACGAGGTCTCATACGTAGTTTCAGCCTTGAGGACTCTGATTGGAGAAAAAAACTGTACTGAGCCGCGCCCTGTCCGTGTTCCGTTCTTGCTCTGTGGTTTGAGTCCCAGGCTTTCAAAGTTTTCTAATGCCAAGCGCTGATCCAAACTCGGACATGTTGGAGAGTTTCGAACGCCCGTAGTTAAAAGGCTGAATGTTGCGAAGCACGTCCTTGCTGCCATTGGGCGCTATCCCTAGTACTAGGTAGGTTAACTCTCTTGCTCATCACAACACCCCAGGACCAGGCACTGTGACCCTCTCCAGACCTGCAAGGAAGTCATGGCACTCGAAGGTTAAACAGTTGCCCAGGATTGCCCGCTGAAGCGAAAAGGAACAGAGTTGGAGTTTTGACTCTAGCTTAACCACCACGTGACAGCAGTCTGTTGGCTCTGGGTTCTTACCATGCCTGAGTGCCTTTGCTACTGTGCATCGTTCAGGTCTGGGTGTCCACGAACTGACACCCCCTCAAAGCATATAATTCCAGCCCCGAGCCACCAAGAGAGTGAACCAGTGGGCTCCATCACTGTGCAGAGAGCTTTCGCTAGGTGATTATTTGACAAAATAGTATTAGAGGAGACATTTCTCTAATGAAGGGGAAGCTACAGTTTGCTCCACCACCTTGCAGGATATCTTGAAAGAGCAATTCTTGGGGTCTCTGAGCTCATGGACATACAAGCAGGACTCCTGGCCTCTAAGATATGCAGTCCAGGCAGTGCTTTCTGCAGAATAAACCTGGTGGGAGACAGAACACCCACGCAAATCCCTTGCAATGTAGATTTGATAGGCAGGAATTTTATAGAGACTTTCAATACACCAGGGAGGAGAAAAATACAAGGACTCTGTTGATTCCTTCGTTTGGGTACAATTAAAAAATACAATGAACACAGCTCTGTGTATTTGAAAGTGATTTGTTTCTTACCAGAGATTAGTAGCTCGCTCCCTCCCTCCCCCCTTTCTCCCTTCTTCCTGTCTTCCCCCTTTCTTCCTTTCTTTAAGATAACACTTCACTATGTAACCAAGGCTGGCCTCAAACTCTGGCATAGCACCAAATCTGACTCCTTTGGGGTGATTCTGAAGTGGGGACATTAAATCATAACACTAGTGCTGGATAAAGACTAGCTACCAGCATTTAGGGGAGAACTCTCTCCAGAGGAAGATGCCAAATGATGAGGAAAATTTGTCTGGGGTCTCATCACTATTTATGGAACAAGTATTGTTGAGGACATGGGTCAAAGACACCGGGGGGGGGGGACCACTAGTTTGCTGAATGGCTCCTCATCCAGGGTGGTTTTGACAAGCCACAGGCATTTTCTCAATAAACAGATGCTCCACTTCTCAGTGAGTCAGCTCCTTATTTACATTCAACAACGTCAGATGTCTCTGTTGTGTTTTGTGGGTTGAGTGGAAGCACCTTGTAAACAAAATGACCCTCTGCATGCGGTGAATGGGTACATGGAAAGGTAAAGTGAGGCACAGGAGATGGAGAGTCTCCCAGGGTAAATGGCAGGTACAGGAGCTTCAAGGTGTGAAGGGTGCTGCGGTCCTCAGGGCTCAAAGAACAGGCAGGTGATGTGAGCGCTGAGTGGCTGATGTGAAGTGGGAGGTGAGGCTGGACAGCTCAACGCAACACAGGCTTCCAAGGGTAGCTGTGAATGTGGCCCAACACAGAATCATAACAGCTGCTCTCTTGGGCACAATAAATGCTGGCCTGCTTAAGGGATGAGTTTCTACAAAGCAGATATTGGATACTAGGAATTAAAATCAGGATCTTGGAGCTTGGAGTTGACATTCTCTCTTAGAAAACCTGAAATGTCTGGAGGGGCTGGGAAACCGATCACATCTTTATGTCTCTACGATAGGGCTGGACTTGGGAAGGGTACCAAGCAAATGCTTAAGGAATACAGCCAGTCAAAATGGGAGAAACCAAAATCCCATCATCCACCCGAAGAGAGCTGGGGTGTGTCGTGAGGTTTTGTTCTTGCTCTTGCTGTCCGCAGTTTTCACATCTGTCCTCATCCTTTCTCTTTCCTTAGCTCCTGCCTTTCTCCTTCTCTTCTTTCCTTCTCTGTGGACACCCCTGTCCTCTGACAGCTGGACGTGCATTTCTCTTTTCCTTCACAGCCTCCAACTCTGTCACTTGCATGTTCCATTGGGCTTTCTTTGTGTTCACATCACTGTTGGATTTGTTTAACTGTTTAGAGTGGGCACTGCAACCAGGCAGGAAAGGAGAATCTACGGCTTGCAGCATCTCATCTCCTCGACACATTCCTGGAGCATCTATGGATGTTCCTTTCCTATGGTTTTCTAAGCAGTTGATCTAAGCGAGGCCAAATTTTGTCCAGATCCAGCTCTCCCTGCAAGTCAGTCCCCACAGCCAGCCCTCTGAGCAGGCCCACTCCCCTCTCTGTTCCCCAGGGGTCCTGACACCAGATCACAGGTTTGGAAGTCATAGCCTCTTCTTCTTCTTCACAAACTACTTCATGCAGAATGCTGGTGACAGGAACTGGCTAGGTCTCCATCTAGCTGTCCTGCAGGGCAGGGGTGGTGGTGTCTCTGCTGGATCTTTCTTCCAGTAGCAGGTGTCCATGGCCCTCCTTTTTGATTTTCTTTTCATGTTGCTGAAGATGCGACCCTGGAGCTTGAGCATGCTCGGCAGACACCACCGCTGACCTAGATCTCTCCACTCACCAGTCTTCCTTCTTGTTGGAATCAACCAACCATCTTTCTTGTCACCCTGGTTCTCGGATGGAACCAAGCATATTTCTTTTCTGCCCAGTTCTCAGAAGCATGGTCTTCATGTGCTGAAGTTAACACACTTCGTTGTAACTCACAGGGAGGTGTGGCACCCCGCCTCTTCCACTAACATGGCTTCTCCACATCCCTGGGATTGTGAGAGCACACAATGACACTCTCCTTTGACCTATCTGCAATGTCAACACCATCAGCTTCCCCTTAAAACATCCACTATTTTGCATCTTCTTCCTTTGCTCCATGGTGGCTCCTTCTTAGTCTTCCTTCCTATTGATGATCTCAGGGCAAGCTGCCATATCTATCAATCAATCAATCCGTCAGTCAGTCAGTCTGTCTGTCTGTCTATCTATTGCTATTCCAGTGAGATCAGTATCATGCCTCCTGCTATCTATGTGTTTTTTCTTTCAATCCCATTAGCAGCTAGTAGCTACTACAGAGAATGTAAGTGGTACTTTGGATGGAACACCTTGCAGTGGTAGAGCCAGGATGCAGGATAAGGCAACCCGACACCAGAGCTGGAGTTTAGACACTACACTTTGGATTTTTTTGAGATTCAGCCCTAAGTCTCCTGACTATCTTTGTCTTATGCATGGCCTTAAATATTATTTACAAGAAGGTGAGTCTTGACTCTGTCTTCAGCTCATGTCTCTCTGAATTACAAAATGGAGTATTTATGTGGTTCCTTGAGATTTCATCATTAAGTCATATTGGAGTGGTTTGAATGAGAAGTCTTCTCCATAGTCTTGGGCATTTGAACATTTGGTTCCCAGTTGCTGGCTCTGTTTGGGGGAGATTTAGTTGGTAGAACCTTGCTGGAGGAAGCATGTCACTGGGAGTGGGCTTTCAGAGCCTAAATCCTCACCCCACAGCCAGTTTGCTCTCTCGCTTGATGCTTCTGGCTCAAATGTGAGCTCTTAGCTCCCGTTCCTGCTGCCATGCCTGCTGCTTTTGTTGATGATGGATTCTTATCCCTCTGGAACCATAAAGCCCAATAAAACCTTCCTTCTATAAACTGCCTTCGTCATGATGGTTTATCAGCAATGGAAAAGTAACCAACACATACATCAATTTAAATACACGGAAAGCAGGATCTCTCAGCATCATCTCTCACATCCATTATCTGCCCTTGTTCCAGAATCTTCTGTCCAAATGGCTGGCACCATACCTGTGTAATAGTGCAACCCGGAATGCAAGACCTTCGTGCATTTGGGCTGTTATGACAATGTACCACAGACTAGTGTGATGATTAATGTATATTATCAACTTGGCTGGATTTAGCATCACCTAAGAGATACTCTGTCACAGGTAGTACCATCTCAAGGAGTGTGATCTAAGACTGAATAAAAGGAGGAAGGAGAAAGTGAGTGAAAACCAGTGTTCATCTCTCTCTGCTTCCTGATTGTGATGTCATGTGACCAGCCATTTTACATTCTTGTCACCATGATGTCCTGGCTAGTTTTTTGGTCAACTTGCTACAAGCTAGAGTTATCTGGAAAGAGGAACCTTAGTTGAGAAAATGCTTCCATCAGATTGCCTATAGGCAAGTCTGTGGGGAATTTTCTTAATTAAAGATTGATGTGGGAGGGACCAGACCACCGTGGGCAGTGTTATTACTGGGTGTACAAGATGGCAAACTGAGCAAGCCTTGGAGAGCAAGCCAGGAAGTGAATTCTTCCATGGCTTCTGCTTCAGTTCCTGTTACCAGGTTCCTGCCCCGACGTCTGTTCACCATATGCTATAGGATGACAGAAGCCCTTTCTTCCCCGAGTTGCCTTTGATCATGGTCTTTACCCCAGCAATAGAAACCTAACTTAAGCCACATGACTTCCCCACCATGATGAGCTAGGCTCTCAAATTCTAAGTCCAATTAGTCCCTTCCTTCTTTAAGTTGATTTTCTTGGTATTTTGTTACAGCGATGGGAAAAGTAACTAACGCAACTAGGAAGTTGACAGATGCTGGACATTCATTTCTCACTGTTCTGGAGACTGAGGAACCCAAGATTAAGGTGCCAGCAGGGTCAGTATCCGGTGACCTTTCTTGCTCATAAACGGGTCTCCAGGAGCTGCTCATGGTCTTTCACATAAGCATTAATTCTGCCCTACTTCTAAATAGCAATGCTTGTGGGGCAAAGC